ATTGTCCCTATGGCTGCCCCCCTGCAACTTAGTCCCACCCCACCTCCATACTTGGCTTTCTCTGCTGCTTCTTACCGCTCCCCATTTCTGCCACGTATCCTTAGTTGGGGCTCTGACTCCAGCTCTGGCCCCTGCCCAGCCAAGGAACTGTAATTGCAGTGGGAGCATTTCCATCCCTGAGGCTGGGGCTGCCACCACTGCTGCGGCTGCCAGGCCGGAGTGGGGTCAGACCTGCAACTGAAGGTAAATGTGGGGTGAGGGACAGAGCTAGGGGGAGGCAGGCAGAAAAACAGAGGTATTGTGGGAGAGCAGCAGTGGTACAGGGCAGAAGCTATGAGCAGAGGTGGTGGTGGGGAGGCAGTGCAGAAGGGTAGGTGAGGGGCAGAGGTGGTACAGTGCATAGACAGAAGAGATCAGGAGGTTGAGGGCTAGGAAGAGGTGATATGGGACAGAGGTTGGGGCCAGAGTTATAGCCACAGCAGCTGCGTGCCCCCCTGCCTTGTATTCAAATCCAAGGTTAGAGTGTTTTTTCCTCACTTGAATGGGGCAGAAATTCATCTTTGATTCAAGTAAATATGGTATTGTTGTCTGAAGGGACAACTTTGTTGTTTATAAGGTATCAGATAGCTTTCATTTTAATCAATAGTCTAGCATGCGTAGGTAGATAGGTGCTGCATAATTATAATTAATAATAGTATATTTTTAGTTTTATCTCCTAGCAAACAGTAGACATAGGCATAAACAGTAAAGGTTTATGATTTAAAGATGATCAGTAGCAGCCACTTTCAAATTTGTTAGTTGATGACATACTAAAAACATTTAGCGTAGTTTTAAAAAGCTACATGCAAAGCAAAGCTGAAGATTTCAAACAAGACTAATCTACAACAACTAAAAAATGTTGCTTAGTGATTCCTACTTGCTGTACTTTTTTATTAACTTGTATTTACCTATGTCATACATTTTTGTGCCATTTTACTGTAATTTTTGGTGAGAAATAAAAATAATCAATCCTGCTTGATAATTAGACTGTCCTTTTTTTTTTACATTAGCAATATAGAGCTAAAACAATTGCTGCAAAAAGTAATATTTTTGAGAAAAGGCATGAAAGTAAAGTTATAAATGAAATAAGATCAATGACTTTACAGTTTCTCTGAAAAATTCTGTAGCTATATAAAAATGCTTTAGGGATTTTAGTATTCAGTTGTATCATGTAGATTCATGTTTCAAAATCAAATCTGAATGTGCATTAGATTAAAAGTGCCTCACTGTTGAAGTATTAACTGAAGAGTAGAAGTGATAAGGCTAGTTTAAAGTACATTCACATCAACAGAGGTACTGCCTGGATTTTTCTTTGTTATGTAAATTAGTTCTTACTAAGAAAAGAGAAATCTCTCTTCAAAATCAAAATGTATTTTTTTTATGTAGTAATCTAAAAGGGGCCTAGGTTTGTGGTCAGGATGTAATTCAAGCATCTGAAACAAGTTGATTCTTTACAAAGAAATTTAATTTCCAAAAACACATACATTGAACCTACATATGATAGACACACATACAACATATATATTTTTGGTTTTGTTTTGTTTTTTTAAATCAGGGTCATCCTGGAAAGGAGGGTCAGTCTGGAGAGAAAGGTGCTCTGGTAAGTTTCAAAGCTTTGCCTTAAACATATATGTCTTTCTTTATCTGTTGAGAAAACTTTTGCAAGTCTATCATCCAAATACTGCATCTGTATAATGCACTCAGAGTTATTTAGAGTATTCCTGTGTGTGGTGGGGGGGGGGGGGGGGGGGGGGGGCAGTGCGCTTTAATTAGAGTGGCTCCGAGATCCATTCTAATTAATATGCCCACAGCATCTCATGTATCAGTGTCCTTGTGCTTCAAAATGGCAGTGGGGGGTGCTTTAACTAAAGCTTGTCAAATGAGTTTTAATTAAAGCACCCTGCCACTATTCTGAAGCCTGGGATGCTGATACACAAAATATGGAGGCTGCTGGAGCACACTAATTAGCTTGTTCCAGTAGACTCATTTAATCGAATCTGCACCAATATGCTATAATTACCAATGTGCTATAATTACAGTGTGTTGAAGCAGACTCTCCACATGCCAACAGGCACCCATAAATAATAGAAAACAAATCATACATTCATAGATCATGAGTGTGAACAGACAAACATATTTACTGATTGCCTTTCTGTCTACTCCACAGGCAGCTTTATTTTAACAGGGCTTTTGGCATGTTTATATTTATTCAAATCTCCTTGGAATAAACTAACTACATATACAAACTTGTAACTTCCATGAATTTGCCTTTTTATACTTAACAGTACCTGTCTGGACTGTTGAAAAACCAACTACTGGAAGATTTACCAAAGCACAGACATGCATTAGATTTTTCAGTCACCTTCAGCAAGTCAGTCGCAGCAAAAGGCAATTTATTTATTGTAATGAAGTATTTAAGGAGTATGGGCTTTATAAAACTCTCTGCCAGGGCTAGATTCTGAGACCCATACTTACATTGAATAACGCCCTATCTAACATGTACTCCCACTGAATTCACGGCAGAAGTGGGCTGCACAGCAGCTCCTTTTATCTTGCAGATTCCCTTATGCACCCCTCAGATGCCAATTGGTGGAGGGCCTACCCCTCACTCCCAATCAGCAAGGAGGTGAAAACCATGGTCTGAAATATGGTGCCATTTAAGCCTTCTGGCCTGTCAGGTCCAAGGAGGTGATACTTCCCTTCTATCGGGCGCTGGTCAGACCACAGTTGGAGCACTGCGTGCAATTCTGGGCGCCACACTTCAAGAAGGATGCGGATAACCTGGAGAGGGTCCAGAGAAGGGCCACTCGTATGGTTAAGGGCCTACAGACCAAGCCCTACGAGAAGAGACTGGGGCACCTGGCCCTCTTCAGCCTCCGCAAGAGAAGGTTGAGAGGCGACCTTGTGGCTGCCTATAAGTTCATCACGGGGGCACAGAAGGGAATTGGGGAGTATTTATTCACCAAGGCGCCCCCGGGGGTTACAAGAAATAATGGCCATAAGCTAGCAGAGAGCAGATTTAGACTAGACATTAGGAAGAACTTCTTCACAGTTAGAGTGGCCAAGGGCTGGAACGGGCTCCCAAGGGAGGTGGTGCTCTCCCCTACCCTGGGGGTTTTCAAGAGGAGGTTAGATGAGTATCTAGCTGGGGTCATCTAGCCCCAGCCCTCTTCCCTGCCTATGCAGGGGGTTGGACTCGATGATCTATTGAGGTCCCTTCCAACCCTAACATCTATGAATCTGAGTCAGCAGGGCCACTGGGGTCCCATAGCCAATCAGCAATGGGGGCTGGGGGGCAGTGCAAGGGAACATGCAAGATTAAAGGAGATGCTGTGCAGCCCACTTCTGCCATGAATTTGGTAGGTCTCTAGTCATGGGACTATTTATAGTGGAAAATACTATTAATTATAAATAAGGGTGTGAAACACTGGCTCATTTGCTCTACCTTTACAGGGTTTTTTTCTTAATCTGTTGCTGAGGAATATGTATTATAGAATTAAAACAGTTTATCCATACCTAATTTTATATTTGCAAATGTGCAGTGAATTGAGCTGTAAAAGTCCTCAGGAAACAGTGTAAAAAACACCAGGCAGTATAAACAAAATGTTGTGAGTGCTGTGAGTTTTTTACTCAAATTTTAAAGATAATCTTTACTTAATAAAATCAAATTTTGCCGTCTTCTTAGCTAATATATAATTTATATCCTTTGGAGTCACCATTAAGTAATTGTTTTGTTCTCCTGATATTTTAGATGATCATAAAGTTCATCGCTTTAGATTCTCTGTATCATGAGTTCATGGTTATGCATCCTATTTTCATCTGGAATTCCTCAAACAATAGATAGATACACAGCAAATTTCCAAATCTATAAAGAGATTCCAAAACAAATTTGAAAGGTGTTTTTATTTCCCTAGTGGCTGCCAGCCAAAAAAAGGCTGTGAAGCCGGGGATTATTGTGACGTCTCATGCAAGACCCACTTGCAGCACAATTAAAAAACAATAATCACATTCAATATGTTAACTGACTAAACATACAAACAGAGTTTTTCTACTCCAATGTATTTCAGGGTCCTCCAGGTGCTCAGGGTCCAATTGGTTATCCTGGTCCTCGTGGTGTAAAGGTATAACTATTTAAAATTCCATTAATTTTTGGAGTATTTTAATTTTATTATTTAATATTCATGTCTTAATAGTTTAATTCTCCTGGTTGAAAACAACTGGGCATTTTTTCTTTTTCTTTCTTTTTATTATTATATTTTTTTTTTTTTCACAGGGAGCTGATGGTGTCCGTGGCCTGAAAGGCTCCAAAGGGGAAAAGGTAAACCTAGAATTTGACTAGGCCCTTTCAAAAAAAATATGTGTGTGTATATATATATATATATATATATATATATGTTATTTCTGTAAAAAAAAGGGAATTCTTTACTCTAGTATATATTACCTTACTCCTGCCTCCTCCCCTTTGCCTAAGTGATGTCAACATACAAACATATAGGGAGTATATGTATGAAACATGACTAAAGTTCATATTTCCATTTCCCTGATACTTCTGTTGTTACATACAAAATAGGGTCAGTCACCCTGCATGCAACCTCCACTTATTTCTAATAATTCCCACGGGCCAAAATTACATTTGTGTTTTGGTATAACATTCATACTCTTCCCAGTAATCTGACAGGAAATGGTGTGTAGCACAAGAGTCTCTATTCCAGCTCTCTCCTAGTGGAGAATTGTCCGTGAGCTGGGGAGACCCTGATCGAACTGGATGCCTGTTGTTTAGGTTCATTTCAGTCTAGCACTGTATTGCAAACTACCACACCACACATGAAAATCTTGTCTTATGGCTCTATTTTCACAATATGGTGGTGGTTTTTTGGGCCAAAGATTTTTTGGGCCAATACTCATATGTGATTCTGGATTTATGCGCAGGGTGAGGGCAGGCTGGGGTCAGGGCCAGTGCTGGGCTCTTTGCAGTGATGAGGGGGCTGGGCCAGGGCTGTGCTTGGGGCAGGTGGTGGCAGTGCGTGGGTGGGGCTGTCTATGAAGGGGCTACAGTCACCCCAGAATTTGCCATAGCTTCCCCATAGACCCCCC